TCGTACTGGTTCGCCACATTCGGAAGCGAACATAATTTGAATTTCGCGGCCCAGGTTACTCGGGCTTATCTTTATGTCTCCCGCACGGGAGGTAGATGGAAAATCCCGCTCCAGTACGGACGGGCGCGAGTCCTGCGGAGGGGTGTGCAGAAAAAGGTCGTAAACAAGCAGCCAAGCGAGTCGGTCGGGTAGACGTGTGCGAATAGGTCATTGAAAGTGGTTGCTTGTACGACAACACGACGGCATAACTGGCGTGTCAATTTCGATTAGTGAACCGGGTCGTTCTAAATTCGGTTTCGCGTTTGAAATCGTTACGGTGCATACGGGTGCAACTTCAGGCAGTATCGCTGACGCCTATTGACTTGACAGAACCAGACTTGACTCGACACTGACAAAGACCAGGCACCTGCAGGAGGGGGAGACGATTATCGAGCTGGTAAGTACCACTCCCCATACAATATTATGCCCTCCGGTTCATTCGTAGTCTAAGGATAGGTTGTGCCGCGGGACCCAAACCCGTTAGTACGGCACAATATGTTTAATACGTCTACGGGTATATTCTACGACGTAACGTCGTAGCAAACACGCGTAGCGCGCTGATATTTTGATATCAGAGAAAAAGTTACGTGAAATTCTTAAATATTAGATAAGTAATTGAAAACTATGTTACATGTGAATAAGTAGCTTTTTAATTTTGAAATAGATTTTTTTAAATCGGCCCAGTAGTTTTTGAGTTATTTCAATACATACAAAAATGCAAATCTTTACTTGTTATAATAATGCTTAAATGCAAATTTTCGTTGAAATCTCTGTTCATTACAGTTTGAAATAAATTGTCGCTTTCTCAGACTGTAATTATCAGCCAAAGAAACAAGAAGACAGGGAAAATTCTCAGACAACTGCAGCTGAGGGTCTTTTGTCTTTGAAGACACAATGCAGTGTACATAAAATGTTTAATTAAAAAAAATTAACAGCCATTAAACTTTTGAGATAACCTACAGTTGACGAGGCATATTATTTTAAAGCAAATAAATATATTTTAAATCTGTATAGTTCAAACACAAACGAGTTCATTTTAGATCATCTATGAATGGTTTAGTTTGGAGAAATCAGTCTGATATTGAATGCTCTACAAATTGTGTTGGCGTATTAAACTTCAAATCTTATTAGAGAGATATTCATACAGCCCTCTTCCCGCTGCCCCCCGCGGTGCCCTCTCCCCTCCACGTCCCCGGGGGCCACAGCTACGTGATTAGTTTATTCTATGCAATCTATTATATTTCTTTCTAGAATACACCGATTCTACAATAATTTACTGATTATGTTTTAAAGTGATTTAACCTGAGATACGCTGACTCTATTCAAATTATAACTTATCAAATTAGTTTGGTTTGCTTCAGAGCACTTTATACTCTATTCCACTCAGACGTCATGACGTCACTGAGTTTGTCAGCAAATTATAACTTTTGTGACGTCATATTAAAATCAGATAATAGACAGATTTCATTTCAGATCGAATTGATCTGTAAATCATCTTAATTTTAGAGTTGACAAAATATTTAACTATAATTTTTGTATTAATTGTGTAGTTAACGTGATCATTATTCAATACATGAACGCAATTATAATAAATTAATGGTTAACCAAATGAAATTTATGCTGCGATTCCAATAATCGATGCACGAGTCATTGCAAAGTTACGTGCGAATTGCTCCGTTGGGATTTAGGTCAAATGACAAACGTTACTGCAACATTGACATGTATATTATACGTATATGTGATTTGTACACACATACATATAGATATAACAGTTTGTTCCGCTCTAGCGATTTTGACAGACGAGCTGTTAATGCCTCGCAGCTGCCCCAATCACTCACACAACATACATTCAGTAATACTAACAATAGTTAGAGATGCATGCTAAATATATTATAAGCCCTAAAATTAGCACCTTGTGTTTAGTAAATGAAGACAGTAATAACGTCGTTCTCATTATGGATCTCGACTTTTCTGAACATTAAAGTAAAATGATATAAAAAGAATATAAGGGGAGGCTGAAAACCAGCGCAACCTTTACTGACAAGCTAGAGACCGCATCAGCTGAGCCTTCTCCTTTTGGTCAAGATTTTTTTATTTTTATTTCATTAATGTGTTTTTGTAATGTAATTTTTGGTCAATAAATGTTTTTTTTTATAAAGTTGTTAATATGAATGAGCATAAAAGCAAATCAAATCAACATCTGCTATTGTTGTACTCTATGTAAAGTGCCAGTTTGCGGTGAATCCCGCTGCTCCCCGCGCGGGGCTTACGAGCTCAAAGCTCAAAGCCGCGGAGAGCTTTATTTGATTGCGTGCAATCGGAAAATCTAAGTTGGACAGTTTGTGAAACAATATTATGGTGAATTATATTGAATGGAAAATATTAGTAAAGTGTAGGGAAATAAAATAAAATTGGGTATGAAGTGTTTTAGATATTTAGGAAATAGGCTAATTTAAAAATAACACATCTTTTTTTATATCCTATCAAATTCTAGCAATAAAACGATACGGAAAATAATAGGAAATGAAGCCTATTAAAACAGTCTGTTTTGTTATAAAGCTTACCGAAAGCTCTTCAGAATAACAAAGCGGCAGTGAGCGGCCGCTGCGAGGCACTCCCTTTCACATTGTCACAGTGGAAGCCTGCTCCGGGCTGGGGGGTGTTAAGGGGGGAGTCAACAGATTTAGTAACATGGCATTGGACTAAAAACTATTATAGCTGGACACTAGTAATGAAGCCAACCGCAATATGCAAATCAGTTTTAGTTATTTCATTTTGTAATTTGCATAATAATTGTAAAAGTAGTGGACTTAATTAGATAATATTTTTTATGGTTTTCTCATCGAACGTGGTAAAGACGCAATCAGTTTCGCTTCGTAATCAAAAAGTTATTCGGCTTTTTGAAAATGAGTTTTCGAGAAAGTCTGGAAAGAATAAGGTAATCGGTATAAAAGAATAATAAAGATAACAAAGGAGTGGCTAATAGCGCCGTCAGTTCGAGGCCGCTACCTGCACGAAATGTTAATGAAGCGAATTTGCCTCAATCTGCATAATGCGACGACCCGCCACCGTACGCTACGCCCCCGTCGACTAAGCCCCCCTCGTCTTTGTCGCCGTTGGGACGTCGCGCGTCACAAAACATGAATGAAAAATCATTAAGGTCCCTAATAAAAAAGAGTGATTTAAAAATCATCTTTATTTTAGTTTTTGTAAAATGTTTTTATGTCATAATTTAATACGGGACGTAAACAAGCGATTTATTTGATGCATTTGTAGCGATTGTCCGGAGAACAAAGGGGGAATCGTTTTCAAATCAAATAAAAGATAATCGTCGTAGCGCTGCGCTCCGCAAACGTTCACGATCGGATGAAGTTCCGAGAACACAAATATCGCTGATAAGAGACAAGTTTGTTGGGTTTTCCCAACGGAATGCGATAGTTTAGGCTGAAGGGATTTTGGGTTTCATACTTCTATGAAATAATGTACCTTGGATATATGAAGATCTACTTTTTATGTTTATTTTCTTTTATTTATTCGTTCTTTCTGTGAACAACCATGTTTAAATGTACTTTCTACGTTGGTTTTGGAGGTTTTAGATCTAACTGTTAAAGACAAATGTGCATTTATTACACCGCATCTGACAGCACTACATGTAAAGCGACATGACACTCGGCTTGCAGATAGCTTACAGTGTCACTCTATTATGTTATGATTAATTCTGCCTATACTAATACAGATAATCTTCATTAATAATAATTTGAAGCATTACGAACATCGTATGAGATGTAATTGCCACCGAGGATTTGCCTTAATTAGAAGTTGACTAATCCTATGCCAATAACATTAGCATATTCAATAGGAGGGTAGTGTCGGGGTAGTAGGGGCAGACCGCACGCCGACCTTGCTGCTTCAATTACGTCTCGATTCGGGTCATCAGCTATTTGATTAACAATTTAAATGCCAAGAACCTCACTATAAAACACCCATCATTTGAATTATTTAAACAATTTTTACAAATAGAATCATAGCACTTTAACAAACAAATGGACATCCATATCATTTACTAAGCAACTGGTTTTAAATGTCAATCAAAATGTTACATTTTATATTACTTACTTACTTAAAATTTTACTATTTGAAATTTTTATGTTGATGATTGCATGAAATCATCTTGCATCAATTTTATACAAAAGATAAAATTAGTCTTCTCATTAATTTCTCTGACGATATGATACACGTTTGATGAAAAACATAGAACGGTAATGAAAAGCAACGAGGTCTAAATAAGGTAAACATCAAAGCGGGCAGACTTCCTGTAACTTGCGGCTGACGGCGGCTAATGAATAATGCAAAGCTGATTTTATTGGCTCCATCAATATGATAATATTGAAGTATTTTGAACGACGGTCGACTCTCTCAACTCTGTATAATGTAGCTCGATACCTTATCTAACGCACGTTCCAGTATTACAAGCCGTGCGGATTCAGACAAACACAAAGGAAAAGAGCCTGTAAAATTGCTGCGACGATAAGACTGTAATGTGTTCTCGACTTTGTTTTTATGAATATACATTTTTATCCCGTCTGTTTTCTTTTCCTCGGAGAGCTTTCTGTGCTGTAATTTGAAATGAATGTGATGTTTAACGAAGCGGTTTGCATTGTAAATGTCGCAGCGGCTGAGGGCTGAGGGCCGACGAGCGACCGAATTATTTATAAAGTGTTCCGCCGTAATGAGGCAGCCGCTTCAGACCGGTCTGTCCCACAGCGACGGTGGATTGTCACACGATTGTGTTAATGCGATTTTTTTCACTTTTTCGGGGGTAAAATTGAATATGTTTCTCATTTCGCTTTTGATCTTCACAATATCCTCAATTTCAAATTGTTTCAATCTCACGTTTAAAAAAGTCTTTGAAGTATTTGTAGGTATTTTGCATGTTGTGTAAAATATTTTTTTTTTCGCAGGCTTCCTTCCCTCCTTTTTCGCGGAGCGCAGTAGCTCGCAGCGCTCGCCCCCTCTAGAAGAAGCCGTGGAACTTCTCCGCGACGCCCCTCTGTACCCTCCATTACGTGAAGATGTTTCAACCAACGACAACCCTGAACTCACGGAACAATCCAATAACATAGTATACGACACTGAGACCAGCATCGAAGAGAGTAATATACAAGTAACTCCAGACGAATCCGAGCCCAAATTTCGTGGAGATGCATCGGAGGATGTAGACAATTCTAATCTTAAATACAGTGTTGATAACGACGAATATTCTGCTACAGCAGATATCGAAGATATCCCTTTCCTTAGACCTGTATATCCTGAAGAGAATCTGTTCAAATCTTCCTTCTCAGACAAAGAAGATACAAACGATGTTTTTGAAGCATCCAGAGATGATGACGATGATTCTCAAGATATAAGTTTTTTCACTTCAACGAAATATGATAAGTCCAACGAAAACGAATTTAGAACTATAAGAGAAACAAAGGAGTACAGAGAAGAGAACCTGAATGAGGCTGATAAAGTAAATATTATTGTACCTGATGATGATGATTTATTGGCTAAGAAAGTTATTGAGGAGAATAAGAATTCTGAAATCGACTTAATTACTTTAGGGAAAAATAAACAGGATGATCCGGGCATATTGATAGCTCCCGACTTTAGCACGAATGCTAAGGATTCTGTTTTAATAATTTCTGATGAATCGACTGTGGAAGATGAGGAGGTCAGTCAAAGCGGTACTCATGATTTCGATACGACAGTCGAAACTATAACAGATACCAATGATAATTCTAATACTTACGATTCAAAAAGAAACCAAGAAAGAATTAAACGGAGCCAAGATTGGGATAAATCGACAAAGGTAGGGAAATCCGAAAATATATCTAACGGTGGGTACTGACCGACCTTACAAGATGTAACGTAACATGTTACAATGTGAGTAACGGTGGATGCGAACGTCACACCTCCAAAATTACACCAACTTGTCACTTCGGCCAATGCCCACTCTAAAAAATTCAACGTATTGTTTAATAATCTTATGGTTGTGACGTCACGGTAGACATCCCGTCGCGTGAAGACTGGCGACACCATCCTGAACATCCGCGGTGCCGTACGAGACGCCATCGGAGACGCAGGCGCGGCGCCGGGCCCGCGCGCCTCCACCCGCCTGGACGCCTTCGTCATCAGACCCGCGCCAGCACCACGCCAGCCGCTGCGGGACGAGCCACGACCCGACGCCGAAGAGCCGGCACCCAAACCTGTCACCTCGCAGGTCAGATCACTACCCTTAATATAAGATTTAAGTCTCACCGTCGCTAGTTCAGTGTTTTGACGTAATTTGCTGTTATCTAGAAGCAGGATCGCGAGCTGCTGGTGGCGGCACACTCATATGTGCGCATTCCATGCGACCTCATCAACGTCACCAATCTGCGCTGGTACAAGGACAATGAGGTGGGATGGAAATATTTACTTTCCAATTCATACTTCATGCGAAGTTTGTTAGCTCCTGTAATGCTATAAGTGTTAAATTCACTAGGCGGCGCTGTTGTCCACTGCTCTGCCGGGGGCAGACGGAGCGGGTGCAGCGGGCGCGGGTGGCGACGGCGCGTTGCATATCCCCCGCGCGGCGCAGGCCCACACCGCGCGCTGGCGCTGCGCCGGACAAGACACTAAAGGACGCGCGCGCGCAGGGAAACCTACCAGATTACTTGTATACGGTAACTACTCTCAATAGTACATGTTATAGAACTCTATAGTAGTAAAACTCTTTAGATTATTTAAATTGTATGTGAATGTTTGGTGCAGAGGCGGTGCGGTCGGTGTACCTGGCGGTGGATGGGCGGCGGCTGGACGCGGGCAACACGTGGGTGCCGGTGCGCGACACCGCCGTGCTCGAGGTGCAATGCTTTGCCGAGGGTGAGTACATCACTTCCACTGGACACTTCTGTCGCACAAGCAATAGCTTATCACTAAACATAACCTTCTAGACATTTTACTGTTTTACACAAATACAGGACTAGAGGAACACGAGCTTTTAGTATCTGCAGAAATTACTTATAGTACCTTTTGATAACATAGTAGAGGTCAAACAATTGAAGTTATTTCGTGTTACTTTGAACAATTTAGTTTTTGTTGGTAAACTAGGTCAACAATTCCACGTTTGTTCTATGCAATTAGTGACAAGATGTTCTATTTTTGGATTTATAAAGTATAGTGTCACTAATTCTCGCCTCGTAGGCAGAAGAAAAACTAAAATAGCCCTTTTGTTACGTTTTGTGTCATATTCTACACTTATGTATTTTAATCACAAAAATGACTGCGAAAACAGTTCGAATATTCTTTAAGTGACTTTAGAAACAGCATAATTGAGTGTTGCCTAATTTTGTTTAATTGTTATTGCGTGCGGCAGGGGGCGTGCCCGCGCCCGAGCTGACGTGGCGACTCCTGGCGCAAGAACCGGCGCTCGACCACCGACCCTACCTACGCGTCTACCACACCAACCACTCCGTAGGTTAGTACACATATACCTGTGTAATGTAACGTTATATGTCTTACGTAGGATGTTGACGAGGTATTTCTATCCGCTAGAGGGCGTGCGCTGGTCGCGCGCGGTGGTGACGGCGGCTCGCGAGCTGCACAACGCCACGCTGCGGTGCGCGGCCGTGCAGCGGCGCCCCCCGCCCGCCGCGCCGCGACCCCCCGACGCGCCCCCCGAGCCCCCCGCGCAGGACGACCTCAGCGCACAGCTGCAGATACATGTCACATGTACGTTTAATTACCATGATTACATTTAACGCTATAGTTTTCTTTTGAGGACAGTGATATTGACAAAGAACGATTATAATATTGTCTAATAGTGGTAGAGCCTGCTTTAACATCTTCGCACTGCGGGGTCGACTCGCCCTGTGCAATACCACCACCACACAGAAGACAGGCGTGAAGTGGGAGCAATACCGCGTATTTGTCTGATGAGTGTGGTGCCGGAAACTTCGTTTTAGTCTCTTTTTCTTTCCACCCTTTTCTTACGAGGAGAGAATGGGAATAAAAAGTGGATTTGACGGTGGAGGAGACGCATAGGAAGTGGAAATATTTTCTTTATGTGCGTCTCCTCCTCAGTCAATTAAGGGTTTGCAACGCATCCGCTATAGCGATTGTCTCTGTGCAGCGGTCGGTTCGCCATTTCGGATTCAGGTGGCCGCTTGCTCGTTTGCTACCTTATATAATATATTAAAAAAATAGAGATTCGATACGACCTGGTGTTGCGCAGATCCACCGTCTTTCGTTATATCTCGGTGGCCGGGATTCGGCGCGCGGCTGGTGGCGGGC